CACCGGTTAGAGGGAGGGCAGGGTTGAAATTAATTTAACGTGATTATTGAATGATCGAGTCAATTTTTAAGCATTAATTCAAGATAAGCGTTACTGTATTTATAATAATTATCTCCCCTTTGAATACTCAAAATATTATATTTAATAAAAGTTTATTCAAATGGTTTATTCAGGTTTATAATAAACCCCACTTTTATATTACTGTACACTATCTATGAATAATACGCGAATAGTGTATAAATTATAACACATTTGAATAATGCTGTGTACACGATCGTGTACAAACCGGGCACTTATGGTTATTTGAAAACTTAGAAAAACTAATTCAAAACATTTGGCAATTTTTTACAACACATATAGAATTACTTTAAAATCTTTTATAATATTTTTACAAAAAATTATATAAATGTTTTTATATTAATATTTTGTTAAGTTTAAATACTTTATAAGTACTTTATAAGAATTTAGCAAAATATTTTATTATTTATTTATTTAATTAAATGTTTATTATCCATTAGTACACATTATAAATTTAATTATAATTAATTAATGAACAAAAATGATTTATAAATTAATTAAAATATTTCAAAATAATACCCGAGATATTTTTGCTAAATAATAACAATAATAGAAAATGATTTTTCTTGATTAAAAATTAATATTTTATAAATGACAAATTCTGTATAAATTTTTAATGTACAATTATATTAATATTACAAGTTTTTAATATTAGCAATATTATCAATACTAATATATTATATGAATAAATGTGTAGCAATTAATTCATCATTTCTAACTTTACATATTTGTTTTATTTTGATTTTGGTATTATTGAATCAATAATATACACATATAAATATGAAAATTACCATTAATATAAAATGTTAAATTAAACAATTTTCAATTTCAAATGAATGCGATTTTTATGAGCGACTAAATGGTTGTGTTGTTTAAAAGTTTGATTACAATTAGGAAAATCACATTTAAAACGCCTTTCATTCAAATGTACAGTACTTTTGTGTTGACATAAATGAGATTTTGTTGCAAAACCTTTATTGCATTTCTTGAAATCACAAACAAATGGTTTTTCTCCGGAATGACTGTATTTATGTGATTTTAAAAAATATTTTGATCCAAAACCTTTGCCACAATTTTTTTCATTACATTTGAATGGTTTTTCAATCAAATGAGTGGTATTTTTGTGATAAATTAAGTGTTCATTTCGTTTATAACTCTTATCACAAAAATCACATTTGAATTCACGTTTTGATGAATGAATTTTTTTGTGTTGTTTTAAATAATGTTTATTTGTTGTCTTGTAATCACATTTAGGATAACAACAGTGAATATATTCATTAGATTTAGTAATTAATGCATTAACTTTTAATCTCTTTTTACCCAGATGAGTCCTAGTTTTGTGTAATATTAAACCTGTTATTTGTTTAAAACTTTTATCACAATTATTAAAATCACATTTATATTGTTTGATATCTGAATGAATTAACTCGTGTTGAATAATATTGTGTTTATATAATGTCTTGAATTGACATTTAGGCCAAAAACATCTAAAATATTTCTCAGATTTACTAATGATATGACAATTGTTTAGCATTTTATCACTGATTTTACATGAATTGCAATCAATTGTTTGA